GCGTCACGGTCGAGATCGAACCCACGACCTCCTGTAGACCAGGCAAGGTAGTTAACATCTCCCAGCCACTGTGATGATGATGATGAGAGAGACACACAAACTCCAAATATACAGCAGCAGGCGTCAGGGTCGAGATCGAACCCACGACCTCCTGTAGACCAGGCGAGGTAGTTAACATCTCGCCACCGTGATGATGATGATGAGAGACACACACAAACTCCAAATATACAGCAGCAGGCGTCAGTGTCGAGATCGAACCCACGACTTCCTGCATACCAGGCGTGGAAGTTAACATCTCGCCACGGCACATGGGTCTGTCCCCGTGACCTCCTGCCAGCAGCGAGCCTTCCACACTTGACGTTGCCTCAACGTGCACCTAGCCTGGCACAAGCGCCGCGGTGATAGTTGCAGCAGGGCCTCCACTGGCACTCAATTCTCTCTGCATCGCTGGAGGCGGATCGAGTGCAGGAGGTGTCACGTGTTTGCGAGCAGCCAGAGCGACACTAAAGCATCGTTTGTGTTGTGTGTGTGTGGATACTGGATGTGATGTGCCGAGATGAAAGCCCCTCTCGCGAGGCTGAAAGTTTGCCCAGCAGCGCAGCACCGAATCATGGCAAAGCCTCTTCGTTGAGTTAGGGGCCGTCCATAAATGACGTCACGCACCTAGGGGGGGGGGGGGGTCAGACATTTGTGACGATGTGTGACGAGGGAGGGGGGGTTTGAGAAATGTGACGTCACGTGAAAATGCGCAACTTAAAATAAATATAGACGACACGTTCTACTGAATTAAATAGACTTTTAAACAAATGTTTTCTTCTACAACATCAGAGTGCAGCAGCACATTAAATACGCACTACAATGACAATAGTTTACAGCGATTTTAAGCATGTTTTATTTTAAAAATGGAAATATGGTTTTGGGGGGGAGGGGGGCAGAGCTTTGTTACGTCATATTTGAGGAGGGGGGGTCTGACTTTTGTGACGCCGTGTGACGAGGGGTGGGGGGGGGCTACAAAAATCGTCCAAAATCACGTGACGTCATTTATGGACGGCCCATAATCCACTTCGTTGAGCTATCATTTGTGGCCGGGTCGCTTCTAAAATATAAACTACGGGCTCAGGGGGCTGTACCTGGTGAAATAAAAATAATGTCGTTCTAGATTCGAAGCTTTCGTGACTGCAAGGATTCATACTCTATGTTTTTTCGGTAAAGTCACGTAATAAATGAAAACAACTAAATTAAATCACGACGTTTCGGGCACTACACAAGCGTCCGTCATCAACACGCTTGCATTCTTGGTTCTTTCGGTAAAGCCACGTAGAAGGGAAATAATGAAATAATAAAAATAAAACATAATAAAATAATTCTCACGACGTTTCGGCCACAACGCAAGCAGCCGTCATCAGGTGAAGAACAGGTCTGTCGGAAAGACAGCTGTCTTTCCGATAGACCTGTGATGGCTGCTTGCGTTGTGGCCGAAACGTCGTGAGAATTATTTTATTATGTTTTATTTTTATTATTTCATTATTTCCCTTCTACGTGACTTTACCGAAAGAACCAAGAAGATGAATCCCTGCAGTCACAAAAGCTTTAAATCGAAATTCAACACGCTTGTGTTGTGCCCGAAACTTCGTGATTTAAATGAGTTGTTTTAATTTATTTTCTTTTTTTACCTACGTGACTTTACCGAAAAACCAAAAACTAATGTGGCTTTATTTATATATTCTTTGAGCGATTTGTTTACATTTCCTCCACGTTTCACTCGTCTCGTCTCGTGTTGTTGTCGTCACGTTCTGACCTGCCGCCTACTGGACACCTCTGATAATGAGCTTTATAGCTCTCCCAGATCCTCCAGTACGGTATCAATATTGAGATTGTGATCATCAGCCGTGGTCTTATCCACTGCTGGATGAGACCCTGCCCAAAGCCGCCGCAAATACCTCGCGGTCACGCGATCCAACGATCCGTCCGGTTGTTTGTCCTTCCTTTGCCTGCCGCTCCGTCACCAGTCTCGACCACAGGCCGTCGTTCTCTAACCGGCGCGCGCGTGTGAGTATACACGTTGAACTTCTTTTGCACCCTACGTAGCCGACCGTGATAATCGGAGGTGCCGGGGCGGGTGTAAGGGCACCAAAGTAAACACAAAAAGCAGTTGATAATTGGTTTTATACCATTTTATCTGGCAACAAAACTGACAACTTTTTTACAAGGAGTCATGTTTGCATTGACCACAATACCTGCGGTCGCAAACAAAAAACACAACTCTGATAATGTATGCACTGTCCTTGAAATTGATTGGTCCACACCCGAGACAGCTTTTCTTAGAGCCTAGTCTCAAATGGTGTTGGACCAGATGACGCCAAAATGCGCAAACATGATTCCTTGTAAAAAAAAAAAGGTGTCAGTTTTGTCGCCAGATAAAAAGGTAAAAAAACAATTATCATATTTTGCTCCTGGCAAATGAGGTTCCAATGGTACAAAAAGCAGTTCTGAAGAAAATTAGTTTTCAATCAATGTCATTTAAAAGTGCATAGCTCCGGTGACTTCCTAATATGGGAAGGAAGGGAGAGCGTTCCAGACGGCCGCAGAAGCGCATCTGAAAGCGCCCAGAGCCAGAGCCATCCCCAGCAGGCAACCCCCTTCACGCTTGTCTGCGCACTTTCAAACACTTTGTTCCAATCGTGTTTGTCATTAAACGAATTAAAACGTGTAGTCACTGCGAGGATGTGTCGACGTTTCAACGACCTGGCCTTTTGCAGGAAAAAAAACGAATCAATGTAAAAGCCCACGAACATATTGCTTTAGGAAGCTGAGCAGTGTTGAGGCTGGACAGTGCTTGAATGGGTGACTACCGTGCATAGCAGGGTGTTATAGGCGACTGCGGGGTTACATGGTGGGTACCAGCCTGCAGTCCAGCAATACCCATTGTTGTGCTGTAGTTATGTAGGGGTGTTAGAGAGAGGGCCCGTTATGTATGGCAGTCTATGGGAAACAAACACAGTGGGCGGGGCTACGTGTGTGCACGGGGAGATGCCCTCTGCGACGTCCGAGCCAGACACCCTGGGGGGGGGCTGGTTTGGCGTTATGATCCCCCGGGGCCCCACCCCTCAAGGAGGGGTTGGGTATAAAAGGGAACGTTATAGGGGCTCGAGTTAGTTATGTTATAAGCTAACCAAGAAGACTGAAGACGTCTTAGATAGAGCCCTGGACTCCCCTCGTTCGATGTCCTTATCAGGGCCGAACAGGACTGAGCCAGCGGCGTGGTCCCGAGAGCCAGAGCCGGTGCTCTTCTAAGAGCTGGTCCGGGACTCCGGGTACCGAGCCCGACTTACCAGTGTCGGGCCAAATAGCCTCCCCTAGCCCATTAGTGGAGGACTGTGAGGCAGGCTAGGATTAGCTAGGAAGTGTATCCTTAGCTAGTCGGGTGAGGGGGCCGCTACCCCCTCCAGTGCTGTATGTCACTAACAAGTTGTGTTAAATAAATATACGTGTGCCTCCACCTCGGCGTCAAGTGTCTTCACCGGTACTTCAGTTATATGCTCCCGTCGTGTCTCTGCTCCACACAAAGATCCCCCGTATAGCCTTTATAGACGGCTGGGGCAAGTGCTGTTAGCGAGTAGCACTTTATGAAGGCCGGAACGGCACACGTGACGTTGGGGTGGCCAGCACCACGCCCGGCCGCCTTTGTCTCCCCAATGGTGATGTTTGCACACCGCACCAGGTACTCATTTGAGGTTGAGCCGATCTAGGGGAGGCCTGGTACCGGTTCAGATTAAAGTCTCTGATATTAGAGAACTCGGGTCGCCGGGTTCGCAGCGCAGCGCGCTAACCACTGTGCCACCGCTCCTCAGACTCACACACACACACAAACACAAAGGCCCCCCGTATAGCCTGCAGAAATGATTGCGGCAAGTGCTGCTAGCGAGCAGTCCCCCACGCCTCTCTGGACTTGGCTCCACCGCCCACCCATTCTGCTCCACTGCTGGATGATGGGGGGGGGGGGGGGGCACGTGGGACCCGGGGTATTGGTGGTGGGGGGGGGCACGTGGGACCCGGGGTATTGGTGGTGGGGGGGGGCACGTGGGACCCGGGGTATTGGTGGTGGTGGGGGGGGGGGGGGCACGTGGGACCCGGGGTGGTGGTGGTGGGGGGGGTCACGTGGGACTCGGGGTATTGGTGGTGGTGGGGGGGGGGCACGTGGGACCCGGGGTATTGGTGGTGGGGGGGGTCACGTGGGACTCGGGGTATTGGTGGTGGTGGTGGTGGGGGGGGCACGTGGGACCCGGGGTATTGGTGGTGGTGGTGGGGGGGGGGGCACGTGGGACCCGGGTATTGGTGGTGGGGGGGGGGCACGTGGGACCCGGGTATTGGTGGTGGGGGGGGGGCACGTGGGACCCGGGGTATTGGTGGTGGTGGTGGTGGGGGGGGCACGTGGGACCCGGGGTATTGGTGGTGGTGGTGGGGGGGGGGGGGCACGTGGGACCCGGGTATTGGTGGTGGGGGGGGGGCACGTGGGACCCGGGTATTGGTGGTGGGGGGGGGGGGGCACGTGGGACCCGGGGTATTGGTGGTGGTGGTGGGGGGGGGGGGCACGTGGGACCCGGGGTATTGATGGTGGTGGGGGGGGGGGCACGTGGGACCCGGGTATTGGTGGTGGGGGGGGGGGCACGTGGGACCCGGGGTATTGGTGGTGGTGGTGGGGGGCACGTGGGACTCGGGGTATTGGTGGGGGGGGGCACTGGGCTGTCGCTCGCGCTGAGAGTCGCGACGCCCTTGACCGCGCGTCGTCTCCCTCTGCCACCCCGCGGGGAGGGAGGAGAGGGGGGGGGTAAGGGGGAGGGAGGAGAGGGGGGCAGGGGGAGGGAGGAGAGGGGGGGCAGGGGGAGGGAGGAGAGGGGGGCAGGGGGAGGGAGGAGAGGGGGGGGCAGGGGGAAGGAGGAGAGGGGGGGGGCAGGGGGGGAGAGTGACGCGTGAGCGGTGACGCGCGCTTTAAAGGCGGGCGAGCTGAGAGCGACGCGGACATCAGCCTGCGCGGCCCCGAGCTCGCAGGAGGATACGCATCGCGTCCCGGGCCCTCTCGTGCCCCCCCCCCCCTTCCTCCTGTGTCCGCCGGTGAGACTACAAACACAGCCACCATCCACCAACCTTCTGTATCTCCCGGTGGGATATCAACACACACACACACACCACCACCAACCACCTTCTGTATCTCCCGGTGAGCTATCAACACACACACACAAAGCCACCACCACCAACCACCCCCTCGATCTCCCGGTGGGGTAGCAACACACAGCCACCACCACCAACCACCCCCTCGATCTCCCGGTGCGCTATCGCACGTAGCTGACGCAACAACCTCATCGCGCACTCCAGCAGCAGAACTTCGCGCCGGGCCGGCTTCATCATCATCAGCAGCATCATCATCAGCAGCAGCAGCATCGTCAAGAGCTGGTGTGCTCCTCTCCCCGTGCCGGCCCTGGCCGCGTCTCCCCGGCCCCCCGCGATGCCCTCGCGGCGCGGGGGCTGCGAATCGAGCGCCGTCCTCGTCGCCGACTTCGCGGACGCGGGACCCCTGAGCGAGGACGTGCAGGTACACGGCGGGGAAGCAACCACCACGCTCACATTCACCACCACGCTCACATTCACCACCACCACGCTCACATTCACCACCACCAGCACCACCAGCACCACCACCTCGCTCACATTCACCACCACGCTCACATTCACCACCACCAGCACCACCAGCACCACGCTCACATTCACCACCACGCTCACATTCACCACCACGCTCACATTCACCACCACCACGCTCACATTCACCACCACCAGCACCACCAGCACCACGCTCCCATTCACCACCACGCTCACATTCACCACCACCACGCTCACATTCACCACCACCAGCACCACCAGCACCACCACCTCGCTCACATTCACCACCACGCTCACATTCACCACCACCAGTACCACCAGCACCACGCTCACATTCACCACCACGCTCACATTCACCACCACCAGCACCACCACCACTACGCTCACATTCACCACCACCACGCTCACATTCACCACCACGCTCACATTCACCACCACCACGCTCACATTCACCACCACCACGCTCACATTCACCACCACCAGCACCACCAGCACCCCCATCACCACCACCACCACGCTCACATTCACCACCACCACGCTCACATTCACCACCACCACGCTCACATTCACCACCACCAGCACCACCACCACCACCATCACCACCAGCACCACGCTCACATTCACCACCACGCTCACATTCACCACCACCACGCTCACATTCACCACCACGCTCACATTCACCACCACCAGCACCACCACCACTACGCTCACATTCACCACCACCACGCTCACATTCACCACCACCACGCTCACATTCACCACCACCAGCACCACCAGCACCACCATCACCACCACCACCACGCTCACATTCACCACCACCACGCTCACATTCACCACCACCACGCTCACATTCACCACCACCAGCACCACCACCACCACCATCACCACCAGCACCACGCTCACATTCACCACCACGCTCACATTCACCACCACCACGCTCACATTCACCACCACGCTCACATTCACCACCACGCTCACATTCACCACCACCAGCACCACCAGCACCACGCTCACATTCACCACCACGCTCACATTCACCACCACGCTCACATTCACCACCACCACCATCACCACCACCAGCACCACCAGCACCAGCACCACCACCACCAGCACCACCACCAGCACCACGCTCACATTCACCACCAGCACCATCACCACCACCAGCACCAGCACCACAACCATCACCAGCACCAGCACCACGCTCACATTCACCACCACGCTCACATTCACCACCACCAGCACCAGCACCACCACCAGCACCACCAGCACCACCATCAGCACCACCACCACCAGCACCACCACCATCACCACCAGCACCACCACCAGCACCACCACCAGCACCACCACCATCACCACCTTCACCACGGGTGTGCGTATACACAACAACAACCGACATTCGCCACTAAGTGGTGGTGACGTCACCACGATGCTTGTGCCAGGCTATGTGCACCTTGAGGCCACGTGAAGTGTCGAACGCCCGCTGGCAGGAGGTCACGGGGCAGACCCAGCAGGTGCCACGGGTCGACTGACTGAGATGACCGAGATGACTGGCTGATGCACCACCCGTGCCCCCTACTGTGCCAACACACGTGTTCGTGCACACACACACGTACGTATACACACGTGTATACGTACGTGTGTGTGTATGCACGTGTATGTGTGTGAACGGTACGCGTGTGTGTGTACACGTGTGTGTGCGTGTGTCTACGGGCAACGCACGGTGCAACTGGAGCCCAAGGCAAGAGAGACGGGGAGAGAGCTCAGCGTGTGTGTAGAGGGCAAAGCGCAGCGCTGCAACGGCCCACGCCATTGCTGTGGCCTCTGAAGGGGTCTCTCCACTCGCAGGCCTCGACCCGAGGACAGACGAGACGACAGTAGCAGCAGCGGGCTAAGCCGCCCCCACCACCACCCCACACATCGCTAATTGAACCGCTCCCCCACCCCTCCCTCTCGCTAATTGGTATAATTACCTATCGTTATGCGTTTGTGTGGTGGTGGTGGTGGGGGGTGGGGGGCATAGCCCCACCCAGCACCCGATCCACCACCAGGACACGTCTGGGGGTGATGTCCACCTTCTGGCCCGTGCCGAGTCTGGGGCTCGCGGGAGCGGTGGCGCAGTGCTTAGCGTGGCTGTTTTATTTTTCTCTCTCTCGCTCTCCCCCCCTCCTCCTTCACGTCATCCCTCCCGGCATCGCCACGGAGACCCCCACAGCCCACGGGGGGGCAGAGAAGAGCAAGGGGGGTGGGGGGGGGGAGTTTTCCACTCCACAATAAACAACAGCGCGACCCCCACCTCTACATCCACCCATGTGGCCCCACCCCCACTGCGAGGCAGGCTTTGGGGAAGGTGGTGAGGGGGGGGCATGCCCACACGCCAGAGGTCGCAACCGGGTACCCGATACCCGTACCCTACCCGATACCCGGCTACCCGTACCCGGCCGGGTACGGGTACGGGTACCCGTTTGCGACCCTGGTGCGGCCGGGCACGGGTAGGCCGTGAGTCACTGGTGAGTAACCGTTTGTCACTCATTTCCCAACGTCTTGTCTCTTCTCACAATTCAAGTTCCTAGAATCAACCCACCCGCGCCTGCAACATGGCTTCATCCCAGAGGTCGCAATCAGGTACCTGATACCCGTACCCTACCCGTACCCGGCCGGGTACGGGTAGGGTACGGGTACGGCCGGGTACGGGTACCCGTTTGCGACCCTGGTGCGGCCGGGTACGGGTAAGGAATCAAAACCCGTTTGCGACCGCTGCCACACGACCCGCTCGCTGTTGCTTCCTTCCTGGTGCCAGATTCCACAATACCATCATCGTCAGCGCCACCATCACCAATAATAGTGATACTACCAATACCCCGCCACTCGCCATCAGCACGACGCCTGTGCCAGGCCAGGTGCACTTTGAGGTCACGCGAAGTGTCGAAGGCTCTCACCACCTTGACAAATCCACTGCTGGATGGAGGCCTCCCCAAGCCACCGCCACAGGAAGCCAGGGAGTGGCTCTGCCTTCAGCAGGGTCCTGAAAAAGTGTTCTCAGTAAGGGAGCGACGACGATGATGATGGCTACTGTGCGTAACCCCGCGGAGTGATGTGCGGTCTAATTGTTCCAATTGGGTCATTACGGACCCACGCCGCTGAAGCCACCGACAAAGGGCGACTCCTGTGAATGATGTCACAGGATCTTTGAAGCAGACGGGGCGAATCGTTGTTGTTGTTGGGGTGATTACACCACGCAGTATTAATCGGGGCGGCCGCGGGAGCCGAACCGTTGTCGTCTGCGACGCGCCACCGCTACAGGCCGCGTCACTTTCCCCTGCGCGTCTCTCGCCGATTGCAGTCACCGGTCCTCCGGCCCTGGGAGGGCAGCTCAGTACACGCAGCACTAAGGGCTCGCACACGTGACTGAACCACGCCGCTCATCTCGTCAAGCAGCTATCAACCATCATCATGCCAACTCCGCTCATCCTTGCAGTAGCAGCAGCAGCAGCAGCAGTAGTAGCAGCAGTAGCATCAGCAGCAGCAGCAGGAGCAGCAGCAGGAGCAGCAGCAGCAGTAGCAGCAGCAGCAGCAGGAGCAGCAGCAGCAGTAGCAGCAGCAGCAGTAGCAGCAGCAGCAGTAGCAGCAGTAGCAGCAGCAGTAGCAGCAGCAGCAGTAGCAGCAGCAGTAGCAGCAGTAGTAGCAGTAGTAGCAGCAGTAGCAGCAGCAGCAGTAGCAGCAGCAGTAGCAGCAGCAGCAGTAGCAGCAGTAGCAGCAGCAGCAGTAGCAGCAGCAGTAGCAGCAGCAGCAGTAGCAGCAGTAGTAGCAGCAGTAGCAGCAGCAGCAGTAGCAGCAGCAGTAGCAGCAGTAGCAGCAGCAGCAGTAGCAGCAGTAGTAGCAGCAGCAGCAGTAGCAGCAGTAGCAGCAGTAGCAGCAGCAGCAGTAGCAGCAGTAGTAGCAGCAGCAGCAGCAGTAGCAGCAGCAGTAGCAGCAGTAGCAGCAGCAGCAGTAGCAGCAGTAGTAGCAGCAGTAGCAGCAGCAGCAGTAGCAGCAGCAGTAGCAGCAGTAGCAGTAGCAGCAGTAGCAGCAGTAGTAGCAGCAGTAGCAGCAGCAGCAGTAGCAGCAGCAGTAGCAGCAGTAGCAGCAGCAGTAGCAGCAGCAGTAGCAGCAGTAGCAGCAGCAGCAGTAGCAGCAGTAGTAGCAGCAGTAGCAGCAGCAGCAGTAGCAGCAGCAGTAGCAGCAGTAGTAGCAGCAGTAGCAGCAGCAGCAGTAGTAGCAGCAGCAGCAGCAGTAGCAGCAGCAGTAGCAGCAGGAGCAGCAGCAGCAGTAGCAGCAGCAGCAGTAGCAGCAGCAGTAGCAGCAGTAGCAGCAGTAGCAGCAGCAGGAGCAGCAGTAGCAGCAGCAGCAGTAGCAGCAGCAGTAGCAGCAGCAGTAGCAGCAGTAGCAGCAGCAGTAGCAGCAGTAGCAGCAGCAGTAGCAGCAGCAGCAGTAGCAGCAGCAGCAGCAGTAGCAGCAGCAGCAGCAGCAGGAGCAGCAGTAGCAGCAGTAGCAGCAGCAGTAGCAGCAGTAGCAGCAGCAGGAGCAGCAGCAGTAGTAGCAGCAGCAGCAGTAGCAGCAGCAGCAGCAGCAGGAGCAGCAGTAGCAGCAGGAGCAGCAGGAGCAGCAGTAGCAGCAGTAGCAGTAGCAGCTTTTGTTGGTTGGCCAACAGATGCGCTTCTGCGGCCGTCTGGAACGCTCTTCCTTCTGATATTAGTGAACCACTGTGGCTATGCACTTTTACATCTAGATTAAAAACGAATCTCTTTAGAACGAATTCAGTGCGTTCAGTCTGTTGTCATCACCCGCAACTCCGATAAGCACGGTTGGCTACGTACGGTGCGAAAGAAGTTCAACATTCGTGCACACAACACGACCAGACGAGGTCTCTTAGATGTTCTGATCGCCTTCTGTGAAGGACTC